GGGTGGGGTACAACCACTCCATTATTGCATGCCACAAATGAGCATGCCTTCCTCAAGAAGGTAGAAAAAAAAGGGGGGTCAGGTGCCCCCCATTTAACAATTTCAAATTTTTTTACCATCCACATTAATCAACTACACACACCTTAGTTGCTCATTGTTCAACTACCTTAATACAACAATCCTCAATCATTTTCCCCAACTTCAAGTCGTGAGGTCACTACTTGACATAATGCTTGATCTTCTATGAAGCACGAATATTAACACAATGACACAGACATTACGACGTAATATAATTACAAAAAGTAGGACACCATGTCTCATAAACACATTTTTATATTCAATAAATTATTAATCTAATATATAAATTTTCTAATATTCTAAATTGAATAATATATTATAGTTGGACTTCTGCATAAAACTGACTTATAATAATAAAATAAATCAAATGTGAAATTTACAAGAAAAGACATTTCAATACAAAGTTATCAATGCATACAAGTGAGAATCCTTAAATACACATTCAAATAAATGCATTGGCCACAATATCTAAATGTGTCCGATAAATTTATAAATCATAGTGCTTTGAAGGTGCACTTGACCAAGTAAGATCTCTATAAATCATAGTAAAATGCATTGATTATATCTTCAAGAGAACTTCGAGCGAGCACGATCCTACTTTTCTTCGTCCCATCTATCTGCATCTCAGAGTCTACCTTTGAAATGGGCATCTTGTCTATGTAACTTCTTTGAAAAGAGTTTTGAATAAGGCCCTAAAGTCCTCTTCGACTACTACGTCTCGACATGAAATAAATCTGGTTATGGCGATATTTTTTTTTGCTCGCTTTTATTTTTTTGATTGATCATGTCTCGCACTTTGTGTCTCACATATTCCCTGCCTCACAATGTGTCCTCATCATATCCTCAACGTTTCCCTAATATGTCTATGTTGTATCGAAGCCTAAATTCACAACACATAAAAAACAAACAATTTGAGGCATGTTAGGTACATGTTGGGGCGTGTCAAAGTTGTTTCCATGTCATACACAGACGTGTCATTCAGAAGTGTTTATGCTTCATAACTAATCCCTTTTGTTTGATTACTATTCATAAATTTTTTGTAAGTAAAACGATCCAAGTTGATTGACGCTAGTCGCTTATAGAAAACTACAACCCTTTTTTTTCTTTTTACTTTTATAGCATGTTTAAGAGAAATTATGATAATTCATTCAGTGCAAATTAAGGGAAAAAGGATTGGTTAACCCCATGAACTTAAGTTCCTAATATATGTTCCTTGGTAATTTGATGACTGCAAACTTTGGATGATGTTGTATAATAATTAGCTAACTACTTTTTTAAGCTAATCACTAATTAGCAACAGTAGTGATATGACCCAATTTGCTAGGCTTTTTGGAGCTTTGGTCACCTGGAGATCAGCTTTGCTTCGTGAATTCAAGCAAACTTAAGTGCAAAGGTAAGATCTAAGGTTGTATATACTATTATATGTGTTCAGCATATATTTTATTGTAAATTAATTGATTTTAATTAAACTAAGGATTCAATGATGATGAACACAACTAAAAATAATAAAGTTTATTATTATTATTTATTGGTGATTGCTTTTGTTCACCGCCTAAGTATTCGAGCACTTTGGATGGTATTCTCTTGTGGTAGAAGTTTTGGTTGCTTTGCTCATAAAGAAAAGGTGTTGGAAATCATTCACCCATCAAGGAGTGTGATTTTAATAAATTTTTCATTGAGTTAGGAATGCAGGAGTTTTTATTAGTGATAGCTAAAGTCAGCGGAATCCTTAATCCAAATAAGATTAGATGTGGATGTAGGCTAATTAGGTGTTGAACCATATAAAAATACTTGTGCCTAAATTGCACTTCAGCTTAACTTTAATTATTTATTTACTCTTACTCGGTTAAATCCTTGCTTGGTGTTCGTATCATAAATGCTTGTGACCTTTCTGAAGAGTCAATCATATTTATTGTACTTAAAGTCATATGCACTCAAATATTCCAAAGATCTCTTTACTTATTACCATCTTCATTCCTGTGTGGCCACTAGTTTGTATTCCTTCATTGTTTGGCAATATAATTAAATCAGCATGTATACTTGAATAAATGTTAACAATATGCTCACTTGTATTATTGCTCAAACACGTAACTACACCTTAATATTCTTCTTTGTGCGCGTGCAGGTCATCTTGCTTATTAACACATGTGCTAGTATCTTTAAGGCATTAATGCATCTAAATTTTGGTCAATATTTTAAACACTCACATATCAGTCTCTCTCACGGATTGTATATCTTATGCGCATATACTTGCTCGTTTGCTTAATTTTCTTTTAGATTAAATCCCAAAATACTCCTCCGAATATGTATATTTGACCAACTTAGTCCCACGATATCACATTTATTCAATTTAGTCTGTCAACTATACAAAATTGATCAAAAAAGTTTCATGTAGAAATTGCGATACAAAATTGATCACAATCGGTCACTCAATAATAAAAATTTGATCTCAATTCAGCCCCTAGGCATCATTTTCGATCAAATTTATAGAATTGAGAAAATAAATTAGAGAATTATATTAATTCAGAGTTAAATTGGTCAGATACTAGTAGTCGGGGAACCATTTTAGAATGTATTCTTTATTTATTGACTTCTTTGCACTTGATTGTGAAAATATTAAGATAGGAGAATATGAAAAGAATTTTGATAGTCTCGATGCACATCAAGTTCGACCTCCCTCCTTCAAATGTATAAGTCAAAAAATTGGTATCAGAGCCTCTACTTTTTTTTGTCTGCAAACCAGAATTAAGATTCTCATGACATATACATATAGTTTTACTTGGAGTGTTGATTAATTTAACAACAGTCCCCTCCACTTGATATAATGATTTTTAATTCTTCCAAAAGTCATACTTTAAGATCTTTTCCTTCATGGTATTGATCCTAGAACATGAAATTTTTAATGTTTATAGTAATCCATATACTTTTGAAAATGGTGACCTTCATTCCATCAATCATGACCTCAATCCTATCAAAAATGAGAATTTTAAATAACAAAAATCAATATCAATGCAACCACCTTCCAAAGGCGGAGCAAAGCAATGACTTGAGTTATCCAGCTCATTAATTGTTAATCACCACAGGATACCCGTTGTTACTAAATATCTAAACTCCCCATTATCATAAAAATGCATGTAAGTGTCAAATTGAGTTTAACGGGTCGAATTAAGTCTCACCTGACTTTGACCCGACACAAAATAACTTGACCTGAATATTAAATATGTCAAAAAGTTCAACCTGAATTTGACATGCCTTCAACACGCTAGCCCAAACCCAACAGTATAACCCATTTACATAAAGCATGATAGCTATTCTAGTCAAAATTGGGTTGACTTTGAATCAATCTTTGTCAAATTCAAGACTATTTTGAGTTAGCGGGTCATTTTCAAATTGATTTTTAGTTGGCAAGTCAACCCGAACCCGACTCAAAAAATTAAATTGATTCCCAAAAATTAGCCAAATCCCAAACTCAATTTTTTTCTGATCTAGTTCATGTTGGGTCAATTTTTCACCCCTAAGAAATCCCATTCTTTATGCTCTTCCTCCAAGAAAGAAACTTTTCTAATTCCATCGCCATTAGAACACAAGTCTTATCAATTACGTTTCATAAGTCAGTAGCCTGGAATTCAGGTGTCATCAAAACTAACATTCACAGAAATTAATCTTAAACAAAAAGAACAAGCAATATCTTCTTCCTTTTCTAAATGCCTAATCGGTATGACGCTAAAAACAAAAACATACCCATAACTCCGCTAACAACGCTGCGGACGGCGCAGTTGTTCCAAATGTCTTGACCTCGGATCTCCTCCATGGTGGGGAGTTTTAATGGCTCTATCTTCGACTTTTCCTCTTGTTTCGACGCTGCTTGGTTTTCTCCATCAGGAGAGGCCATGAATACGTTACAGAGTACAATAGAGCACACGAAGTACAAGAAAACGCTATTAGAATCAAAACCCCTGAAGAACTGGATCAATAGAGGCGGGATTGAGGATCGCCGCGTAGAGATTAAAGGGGGCGGGAAGAGCGCGGCTCCTCTCTCCTCTTCGCCGCCTCTTCTAGGGCTGAGAATTTAAATCCACAATTAATTTGAAATTTTGAATTAAAAATACAAGAAAATATTGAATCTCGTCGAGACTCGAGCCCATGTCCGGACAACGGATGTGATGCACCAGAAGATCAGTTCTTCTTTTTTTCTTGCTCGAGCTCCTCCATACATTGTGTTAGGATGCAATACTTACGTCCAAACTCCGGATGAAATATTTATTCTAAAATAACATGAATCTGCATTATTTTCTCAAAATTAAAAATAATATAAAATATATTTTATTAATTATTTCTATTTTTTAAACATATTTCAATTTTTATTTTTAAAATTGCAATACTTAATTTTTAATTGTTGAATCTATTTTTCTTTTTATTTTAAATAACTAAGATAAACTGAAAATTAAAAAATTAAAGTGATATTACACATGCAAGGTATATAACTCTTGATGTTTGTTCATAATTCAATTTCAACTAAAAACTAGATCTTTGTTTGTTTGTATCCAATTAATTTAAGCCAATTTTAATTTTGTCTAAGTCGGTTTGGTTTTATCAAATATTCAATTGATTCGGTATCTTTTAAATTTAACCTTTAATGAGTTTTAACAATTTGAAAATTAATGCCCCTACTCGCAATTGTGATTGGTTTGAGATAAAAATTCGCGAGAGACAGAGAGAAGTAAACACTGATGAATAGTAATACATTGTTTTTCTCTTTGTTTTTTCATAAAATAATTTCTCTTTTTATATGAAAGATGGTACAATATAATGAATTTACATTTTTTTCCAAGCTTTAATAGAGGTTGCACATGATATTTTAGATATTTTACATATGTGAATCAATCGCCCGGCTTACCTCTAACATAGTCAGTTGAGCTTCTTTGGCTTCAACATGGTAAGGTCGATTCTGTCAACTAGGCTGAGCTGGCAATGGATTGGCATGATGGATTTGATCGGTCATGCCTTATCAATCGATTATTTTAGTATGGTTTTCCACCATCAATCTTCAAATGATGAGCTCTTATTGGCGAAGTGAGACTAAATTATCAGGCCGAAAGTGAATCACCATAACCTGATAGATAGCTCATTCCACAATTAGGACAACCCATGGAATGACTATAAGACTATTGCATTATCAATTATTGATCTCTGATGAGGTGTCTCAGAGGCATTCTTGGGATGATTGGTGATATTGAGGAACTGGATCTTTCCTCGGGTTAGATCTATTGAAAGATGGGTTGTTGCCTTCAGTAGACTTTTTTTTTTTAATGGTTGGCCTAAATTTTTATTTGTCTTGTTTTAATCTAATTTGTTAGGACTGTCATCCATCAACAGTCATTTTGTCATTCCCTTGGCTCTGCCAGTCTTTAGATTTGATTTAGATGGCTTCATCTAGTCGGTCCTAAATTTTGGCTCGGGTGGCTACGACTGATCGGATAAGTGAACATCTTGGTCTTCCATTGATGTGCCCAGTTATATCTCATTGGGATCAAAGTTGTCACATTTATCAATTTACATATTTTAGTTTCCAGACCTTCTTACTTTTTTAAGGTTGTGTTGCAATAAAAATAAGTTGATCTAATGCAAAGAGTACGTAATATTTTTTCTTATTCAATGATTCAATAATTGAACTCCTTAGATTTATGTGCCTTTAGTTCTTATAAATAGGGTGCGGCGGGCTCTAACATTTTATATTTAGCTTATATTTATTCTTGTCTGAATCGATCGACTTTTAAGCATTGTCATGAAGAACGTGTCAAATCCTTCAATTGACCTCCCAACAAGAAAAGAAACGATATTGCCAAGAAGATGAAAACAAAAACAATAAAATTGTTGCTAAAAAAATGGTTACTTATGGTTCGTTCCATGGTAGTAGGTGGAGGAACGTTTAGACGACTGACCTAACCATCAATTTGTTAGCACAATCTTTTGTTGAGGCACCAAACCCGTTGATAAAGTGAGCCACATGAAAAGTTGTTGGTGTCATGACACTACCCAATGAGAGTTGTATGTTGATTAAATGATTTGAGTTGGACAAAGTCCTTGGTACGAGAGGACTTGTTCTTGCTTGTAGGTTTTTTATTTCTGATCTCATTTTTCTTATATTGTCAATTGACGCACTTGGCTCGATCTTAGTTGTCTTGAGCAATGATTTACCTTCGGTAGGTGTAGGTGAAAAATCAATCACGTCCACGGCTGGCCTTGCAGCAGTCGATGGTTGCCCCTTGTCACATCCCAAAAGAGTCCTTGAGAGAGGTGGGCAACCCATGACTTAAATACTGATTTTAGGCCCTACAACTAGCCCATGTGAGATTATTTGTGACAAGTTGCTCTCTCAACTTCTGATTCGTTCATCTTTTGTGCTCTGTTTGGATAACTCCAAACTGCTCTCTGCAAGACTTCAGTTCGGCTACAGGAGACCTATGTCTTCGACTCCATTTTAAAGCTTCGAGCTGCTGGGGAGAATGATCGAGCAACAAGCTGGTTTGGAGCCAAACTTATTTTTTACAGATATCTGTTCAAATTCTGTTAGAGGCCGCCTTTTTTCCAAGAACAACATGCTGTTTTCAACTATTACAAGGTCATTCCACTTAGATTTTGTGCAACTGCCATCATTTTCAATGCAACTTTCGTCATTTTTTATTGCCCGCCAGGAATCTATTGGTCGATGGAGCTCTTAACCTCCATGTAATCATTCTTGGTTGGTTTGGAGGATGATGCATAGTTTGCCTCGGTAGAGAAGTTCCTGCTATTAGTGTTGTAAAATAAGATAAATGACTGGAAGCTGTACTTTAGTTCGATTCTTCTTTCGATGGCCGGAAAATCCTGTTTAGCCTAGAGTCGCGACCAACGAATTGAAGAAGAAGGTATTGGATCAGGTGCCAGTTGAAGCAACAAGGGCCGAAGGGCAACAACTTTTAGTTTGCTAATACCTCGATCCAATAATCGTCAATCACGAGCCATATGCCTATGGGTGGATGACCGAGGAAAATTGGTTGGCTTCGGATACCTAGGAGATTGAGCGAAAGCCAGCAGCTGCCGCCCCAGCCGGAAAAAAATTTGCGTACATAAGACGTACGCAGCGATACATGCGTCCTCCAACGGGCTATTGACAAATCAGCATAGTTGGTCCCACCGCATTCATTCAGACGCGACCCGTCGACCCGGCCCGCTCGATTATAACCGAGTTATAACTGAGACGTACCGGATTTATAACCGAGAGGGCCTTTACCGCGGTACCGCTCGGATAACAGGATTGTAACCTTACAGTAACCTCAAAACGAATGAACCGTGTTTATAACCTCGCTGTAACGAAGATGTAACCGAGAAGTGTAACCGAGAAAAATAAACGAGCTATAACTGATTTGTAACCGAGAGTTAATACTGCGCGTTGTAACCTAGAGCTATAACTAAGCTGTAACCGACACAGTAACTCCGCTGCATGCTGTACCGAGGCTGTGTAACTCCCTGGTAACCTCTACACCCCGCCTTACCAACTGTACCTTCCGTGTAACGTTTTAGTAACATTTAAAGCAAAGTTTTTCCAATTTGTAACCTCGTTATAATCTGAGAGAACCCTTCGCAGTCACGGAGCCGTAAATTAAGTATAACCGCGTGATAATCTTCTTTAAAAACCAGAGCGCGCGAATGCTACTATTTAAGCAGTAGAAAGCTAGGGTTTACTGTTTTATTACATTTTGATGTTGAAGATGGACAGCACAAGGTGGCATTTCGTCTCTGACGGGGAAGGAGACGGTATATTTTCAGCCAACACAGAACAAGTCAATGTTAAAGTGGAGGTATATTGGTTGTATGTCTGCAGTTATGTATTTTTTTAAAGAAACTTCTGTGTTTTTTCTGCCGAGATATCTTTCTTTCTTGGTGTGTTTAGGTAGTTTTTTTGGCGTTTTCGTTGGTGTGTATCTTACTGTGTTTTATGGTGATTTTCTTAGGTAGAGATCTTCAGTTTTTATTAAAATGTAGTCTTTTTTTAGGGTGATCTTATTTGTTGTATGATATATAAGAATATTATGGATTTGAATGTGTGTAAAGTTGTGATTTCCGTTTTATTTGTTATGATGTGCTAATTAGGGTTGCAGGGTAGTTTAATAGTAGTTTAATACAGTTTTATATTTGTTTGCAGTTGGATGAGGGTGAAGCTAAATGTAGAGATGAAAGTGCAAATATTTTAATTGAAACAGTTGTCCACAATGAAAAAGAAGCTTACGAAGTATATTGTGCTTACGCGCATCATATCGGATTTAGTGTCCGCAAGGAGCACGGCACATTCTGGCCTAACTCCAAGAATCTTAAGACGAAAGACTTTGTTTGTGGGCGAGCAGGTTTCAAGAAAGAGTTGAAGGTCACACAAATTGTTAAGTACAAAAGAGCGGACACAAGAAGCGGTT